GCAAAGCTATAACGTGAACCTTCTGATCTGAAGCCATTTTTCTTTTTTTCTGAAATTGTTTTTTTATTTCACAGTAATAGAATGTGTCATTTTATAATATAATGATAGAGGCATTTAAAGGGTATTAAGGCTTATTCGTTTTAATTAACTACAGATGCTTAATTAGTGCAGCTCAAGGTAATTCACAACACATGTTTTAAAGTGTGTAGCCCCACATTCTTTCCACCTTTGATTACAAGATGGCAATAAACTGATGATTTTTAGAAAGATCAGGGTAAAGGAATAAATGAAAAAATATTTGGAAAGAAAAACAAGTTCCTTTCAAGTTTTGATTTTCATTACATACGAACTACCTATAGTTTAACACTATACTGTAAGAAAATACTGTGAGACCATTTACACTGCATTTAATACAATATGAATAATCAACAATAAAATGACTTTCAATTAAATTAGTATTTTGCAAAAAATATAATAAACTTTTTTGAACCCTTAATAATGTAGAAACATGTTCTGAAAATCCTGTAAACCTGTAAACTGAATGCACTTCTTACATAAGAAAATTATGTTGTTTAATTTCTGAAGAACAAACGAATGCTTCAATAGTGATGTACTTCTGGAAAATAAGAGTTTAAAATACCTTTTGTCATCCAGACATTTGGTAAGACTTCTATTCTAGAAAAACTTTATTCTGAGCTTAAAAAGATTGTTGAACAATCTCTACACAGTACTATATTTTCTTGGTCTGTTCAGTGTTTCTGAAGATATCAACCTGGATACTAAGGTTTGTATGACATCACAAACCATTTTGATAGGTTTCTTTATTTATTTTGTAATTGAAATGAAACTGTTAAGTCGTCACATGTGACCTTCTTAATTTAAAATATATCTCACAAGAATTCAATCATGCTGCTGCAACTTCTTGTTCAAGAGCTGAAATGTTTAATTAGAATTTTACAGTCCACGTAGTTAGTATGTTTTTACAAGTGTTTTTTTGTTCTAAATGTTGCTAAAAACAATATTACACAAAACAATACAAGGCACATGCTACATACTAACATATGCTACAATAGCTGACTGTGGGAACACACTGTGAAATGTTAACCTGAATATCTTGTGAAAATATTTCTTCTGGCTTCTGGATTTTAACTAGACAGAAGCAACACCCAGTTCCCATTAGAAGAGAGGTGTCACACTAAGTAGTCCAATCACACAAGTCATGTAAAGTGCATTTATATACATTTAAAACACTGCTACCCATTGTTTCTCCAAGTCTTACAGAATAATTGCTTACTTCACCACCTCCAGTGTGCCTTGGTGCTCATTGTTAAATATAGAGTAGTCTCTGGAAACTACAGAATATATGCAGATACACAAGGAGAATATAACATCTACATGAATAAATCACTGGTTATATACATAATTCTATTTACATTTTAAAAAAATAATGGTCAATTGAGTAGCATTGTCCTTGGGATGACAAAATATAGAGCATATTTCATGTGATTTCACAGAAATGACGAGGCACCTAGTGTTTATGAAAATAAAATTGCCAAAATGAAAATAAAATTATAAATCTATATACATCTAAACTAATGTCCACTCAGAGACCTGCCTGCCACAGACTGTTATAACAACCAAACTGTCGCCAAGTCTCAATCATTTGTAAACAGACACATCGGGTGATAATTAGTTAATTAATTTGATTGGTGATGGGTTAAAAATGCACATTCTCACATGGGTGTGAGGAGCATGTTTGATATTTAAAGATGTTAAGGCTGTTTAAGAGACCTGTGTTCCAAAGACCAGCTGAATCTCTGAAACAAAGAATACAGCACTATATAGTATCACCACCAGGGGGTTTTAATGTGTTCACATTCCTGAAGTCCCCTTAAAGGTGGGTCTGTCACCTAGTCATTCTAGTCAATGAGGAGCACACAATCTGGGTTTAGGTACAGTACATCAAAAAGAACAGTATGGGAATTCTTCAAAAAGGTACTTTCCAATAACCAGACTCATCCAGAATAGTAAAAACTATCTTTAGTTAGGCAAATCAAACTAGGAGCAATACTTCCATTGGAGGTGTGGTTTGCACACAAGACTGACACATCGTTGACTAAAACAAACTCCAAGCTAGACAGGAGTTCTATGAGATAAAAGTATGACAAGCCTATGGGTCCTGACTTTTATAGATTCTTTAGTGAAAGGGTGGAGTTTGATGCTACTTCATTAATACGCTATCTTTTGAAAACTGACTTTACGGGAGCCAGTAACAGGTTCTATTGTTGTTTATTTTGCCAAGCTAAATTTAACACTATTCATGTAAAAAGTAAAAGTAACTAAAAATACTACTGATAATAATCACAATAACAGCGAGCAACAGACCTGTACTGTATATTCAAGCCAATAAAACAAGTGAGAGGAAAAGAAATTAGGGGGCTATAAAGCCAAATACTGTACTGTATATCCTTTCCATTAATCCAAAACCGCTTCATACAGTACTCTATATTGAAATATAATCTTCTCATCCTCTTAGCCTACAACAAGCTAAAAACATAGTCTTCAGGAGCTTTCATATATGATTATGTAAATGCTTTAAACATTCCTCATTTAAGATCACTATTAAGGTATGGTAGCTTCTCCATGGGCCACATTCACCACTGTGTTTTCCTAACTCACAGTTATTCAGCAGTCAGATCAAAATACACTCAGTACTCTGTTTCTGTAACCTCAGGTCCCTTCTATTTTATTCTCAATAACCTTTATAATCTAAGCATTAATTCTAGATTATCCTCCTAGATAATTTTGCAAAAAAATATTTACTGTAAACAAGTATGAAAATGCAAACACAGTACAAAGACTATGTACTTACAACTAAAAATAATGTACAAATGAAATTAAAGAATATAAATTTGAAAAAAGTTATTTAATTTGAAAAAGCAGATGTCATATTTAAATAATTTTAAAAAACATGATTACATTGTGCGAAACAATTTCAATGATTACACTCAGTGAATTTAGCATACTAAGTATTGCAAAGGGTACTAATATGAGGTAAACACAAGAAAGGAAGGTATTTTGCATTGAATTTTTAAGCCATTCATCATTTAAAGGCATTTCAGAAGATTTGTAAAGCCTCCAGAATTGTGTGTAAAGCAATACTTGCTTTTACTGGCTTTGTACCTCTTACCAGAGAATTTGTATATAACCTGCCATTTAACTAAAACAGAGTTATGGATAATTTCACATGTTGTATTTTTTGTTTTTATTAAACAAATTAAATGCACATCACAAGGTGATAATATCCCCTTAATATCCCAAGATATAGTTGGTAATTAAGAACCTAAATGTTAGAAAATATGAAAATATATACGGTATGCAAAATGTAATCTGTACTGAACCTTAGAAGTCTGAATAATTAATAAGTTATATAATATAGATACAATGGAAGAGTTGATAACTTCTACTTGAAATACTGTACAAAACGTAAGAACAATAATTAAGAAAAAATATGTTTGTTATTCTGAATGTTTAAAAAAAATTGCATTTACAACAGTTACAATAAAGCCAACTTAAAGTGTAGCTTATTACAACAACTGTAACTGCAGTATTGACAGGAGACAGAGCGAGAGCTCACTGATAGTAATTGAAAAGACATTCGGAGCTGGTCAATGTCAGGAATGTTGCAGGACAATGATAGTTTAGCAAGCCCTCAGAGCCCCCAGGCTTTTCCCTCAATAGGATGACTTGACTCTGTATTTGTTATGATTTTTCATCCTTGAGTAAATTGTTTCATTCCTGAATTCATTTTGCGTTTTGACTTAATTTTGTGAGTTTTCACCAAAAAAAAAGCAGAGCAATGCTGATTTAAAATGGTAGATTAGGAGCAGGATCAATTATGATCAAGAAATTGTCTAACCCATAATGTAAAGATTTACATGAGCTATCTTCCAATAACACTGGATTTTCCTACAGGGTTATGAAATATGTATCATTCTTTACATGGCTTAACCTTAAGTTCAGTTGCTGTCCCCGGCCAACTGGCACTGTGTCCACAGAGAGATCTACTTAGAAAAACAAGCTCAGTGTATGAGTTTTAAAAATGAAGCAGAGGAATATTGAATATTGCCTAAGCAGCAATAACTCTTATTCTAAAGATGATGTAGAGGGCTGGTGTTTACCAGTATTTTCAAAGCAAATCGGCCCTAGTAAATACCTTTGGGAAGTAATTCTCTACTGTAGTGTACCCCTAAAGTCAATAATAATCTTTGTTGGGAAGTAATGCTTTTTTGAATGTACAGTATGGTGTGTTGAATCAAATGCCATGCCCTACTAATCCATTACAAAAGAAGGCCTCTCTATGTAACCAGACCCTTAAATATATTATTTATATTCATCATCAGTTAATAAAACATTTAACTTTGCTGTATATAAACACACTGTGGTATTGAATGAAGGTTTTATATTTGACTGCTCCAGTTATATTGGATAGTTCCAGTGTTGTGAGAAGGAGTGTATGCACTAGTGATGGGTTTAACAAACAGCAGGAGAATCAGCATGAGGGGAGCTGGAATACTAGATTAGAATAAAGTGCTAGGACCATTGATTGAGAAACCAGTAAAACAAAGCTGAAAGAACTCTTGACATTAATGACTGTTTCTCTGCAGACTGCACTACACTGGTACCATTCTTGCACGGTGGCTATACACATACAGTAACTAAAGCTATTAGCCGTCTGCACAAACCAGAAGGGTTACAGGCGCACACAGACTGATTTTTTTTAACACAACCCAGTCTAAACTAGCTCTCGTCCTAGAGGAAGAATAAATAAATAATCTAATTAGTTCAAGACAGATGAATGGTACTTTCAGAGCACTGAATAAAGAAGAGATCAAGTCTGGGCACCTCTATAAAGATTCTGTCACTTTCAATAGCAAAGGCGCTGGCATAAAGTAGCAAGCCCCTCAAAGAGGCCACTGTAAAAACCATGACCCACTTACCATCACAACTACAAGATAATCTGCTACAATAGCATGTCCATCGTCTGGTGAAGGCAGGTATTATAGTGAAGATTCTTAAAAGAAAGAAAAAAAACAAAGACGTGCATCCTCCCAAGTTTCTGAAATATTTCCCCCCGAACACTTTTCATTTATACAGCTGCTTAAAAGCGGGGAAAAAAGCTCAAATAAACAAGTGGAAATCCAACAGATAATGCAGCCGATATGCAAACAGGACCAGGGCAGAGAATCGGATTTGTCTACCATTTGACAGTTTGGCAGAAGTTGAAAACGATGCCAGAGGTAAAGCATTCTGCCGCTGCAAAAAACTGCGGAAAACAGTACAACAAGCCACGGACATAAGAGCAGACATTCATCTTAGAGGCTTGAATGTAGCCTATTATTGCTTAAAATGAGATCCTTATCTTTACGGTTCGGTAACCAGGTGCAATCCTTTAATCCTCCAGTTTAGGTGATCGCGGTAAAGAGAAACGGGGGGACATCTACTGTATAAAGGTTGATGTATCTCCGTCAGTTTTTTTGCATCACCAACGCAGTACGTAAAGGATAACTCCTACCTACTTTCCTGTGAAGTTTTACATAATCGCATAAAACGCTTATACAGTTGAAGCAATACAGTACATTGCTACACGCACTGGAAAGAGGAGGAGTCGTAGGCTAACTAGTATACAGCGTGGAAAAAAACGCTAATTTTTAGTCCTTTTTAGCCTTTTTTTCGACTTCATTAAAACTGAGGTATATACCCTACTGTTGTTCAATATGCATAGCGCCAAAGTTGATCATGACAATGATGGGGACTGTTGTTTATCGATGCCTATATTATTTGCTAGAGATGTGGGTCTTGACTGGGATGTGACTCGATCACACAGGCTACTGGCCACAAGATTAACTAACAACCTTTTTTCAAGTGATGAGACAACTGCAAACAGGCGTTGGTCGATACACAGAAGCAAGGTATGGATGAGGAGAAACAACGACTTTGTAAGGAGTAGCGGCTCCAGAGTTGTTCTAACTCAGTTCAAAGTAATAATTCATTCATTCTTTGTCTCCAGAAATTAGGAGCCGGCGACAAAATATTCAAAAGAAACGCAATTCCTTCGACACATATTTTTTCAACCCGTATTTCTCTGCGGATTTTTATTTTTGAATACAGTTATTCGAACATACACTTACAGAAGCCTAAAATCACGTAAGAATTAAACGCATTAAAACTAGTATAAAATACTTCACAGATATCTTTGAAGTTAATATAGCATAGTAAATAGATAACTTTCATACAATGTCTGTGTTTTAGATATCTGATGATAGTGATTAAAAAATATAGCCTTCTTAAAAAGGGATAGTGTTATGTCAGATAGTACTGTACAACAGCGCTACGGAGGCAAACGGGATACCAACTTACCTTTAAATTCCACTACGAAACAGCTAAGCATCACTGGAAACTGTTATAGATTTTAAGCAAAAGTTTCTAAAATGATACTGTAGATCCACCTTGGTGAAAAATATTGTAATAGAATTTTAAAAATGATCTGACATACCTTGGCAGTACCGTATCGCCTGCCACTTAAAGTCCCAGTAAAGCGGAAATCTTTATATTGAGCAAATATCTTCTTGAATGAAATTTCCAATTCCCATTTTTGGTTTCACATAACAAAAAACAGTCTTGCGATTTTTCTTCTGTTTGTTTCCTCCGATACTGGTTTGATGGCTAAGAAGTTGAGTGATAGATTCTGGAATCCGCGTGCACACTGTGCGGTTCACTGAATGCGGGAGCAGCGACGACTGTCTGTTTCCTTCTGACTAGATGGTTTCCCCTCCGCATCTCTCTCTCACTCGCTCGCTCTCTCTTTCTCTCTGTGATTTTCCAGGCTGCAGTTAGGAAAGAGAAGGGGGGAGAGGGGGGCGTCTGTCGGACCATTCAATATCCTCAAATACTTTGCTACTTTTAAGGTATTTTGCTTCCCTGGCTTCAGTGTTCACCGCATTTGTCTACAATAGCAAGCAATTACTATGAATTAGCTATCAAAGGATAGTGACTGTTACGGTTTTATAAAGGTTAACCCCCCCACCACCCCTATTCAGAGGACGTTCGTAATGCGCTTTAATATTTCTTAACCTTATTAGCAAATGCATTTAGGCACTAGTGCTGGTAATGGATGGCACGCAGATACATGTGTTATGTAAAGGATGTGGCATTACAGTAAGCACAGCTTCCTCTGGGGTCTTGGGTTCTATTCGAGACTGGAATACCTACTGTTCTATGTGGAGTTTACATGTCCTCCCCACGTTTGTGTGTGCAATTGCTCTGGTTTCCTCCTGCTTTCCAAACACAAGCTGACAAGATTAATTTTTGTCTCTAAATTGTTTGTGTGTGCATGCACCCTGGTATAGATTGGTGTGCGAGTGGTGTCCTGTGCTGAGAAAAGTCTGACTTTGTGTCTCTTTGCTTCCAGGATAGGCTCCAGATTTCCATGACTATTACCAGGCATAGACTGCTTTCTGAAAATAGTGTGGTTTCTAACTTGCTTTTTTAAATTAATCATGCTTCAAGGATTACTTTATCAGTCAAACTTATATCTAAATAATATTATAAGAGAAAGTGTGTCACTTACTGTAGGTTTTGCAAAGAAACAAAAATAATTCTTGTTTCATTTATATTTCTCTGTTACATTTGAACAGTGATTGATTATTTGCCAGAAAGAAGTGAAAAAAAATCTAATAAAAACAGGAAGTTTGGTTAGTTTCATGCAGATTTGGGTCACAACACATTTACTGTTGTTGTTTTTTTTTTTGAGAACCTAACAGCCCAAATAATCAGCATTATCGGACTTGTGAGTTTGAATGTTGCTAACAATCTGCTGTTGATGCTATCAGCTGTAAAGTCAAGATCAAAAGTCATCTCATTGCAGAAGTTACAGAGATTTCCTCATTTTAATAAGGCAGTATTGTGTATTTCAGCATGTTTATGTTATTTATGAATAGTAGCTGACTCTGAGCTAGTGCTGCTTCTCAATGTCATTTGGCCATGATTATCACATTTCAGAGCTACAGCTCCAAACTTGATGATGCTGAACTTGCAGTGACCCAGGAGTGGCTAGGTTATGTGAATGACCTGGTAAATAATACCAGGACATAAACAGACACATTCCTTTATCTGTGGATCCTGTGTAAAATGCATCTTTCACAGTATTCTACTGGATGTTTTGTTTCTTAAGGAATGATAAGACAAGATCACTTTATTAGCCATATACAATTTCTTGCATTGGGAATTCATCTTTTCACATACCACAGCTTGCTCTCCATGAGATACAGACATGGAGAGAAACTTGGGGTCAGAGCACAGGGTCAGCCATTTAACCAGCAGCCCCAGAGCAGTTGAGGCCTTGCTCAGGGGCCCAACACAGTAGGATTCCTCTGCCAGCTGTGGGATTTGAACCAGCAACCTTCTAGCCACAGAGCCACCACCCCACCCTGTATCTTGAAAATGCATTAAGACCATTAGCTTGTTTCCAGTGCTGGATTTTTTTCAGAAAGGTGCCTTGTCTGAAGGAATCCAGGTTGAATGTTTTATGATTGAAAACCTGCTAGGAATGAGTATCAGATCCATATTCATTAAACAGATTATCATTTCTGTTTAAAGTACATCTTGCTCCTAAATAACTTTCTTAATATACTGTAACATGTTCAGAGAACTACTTATTAGTAACAGCTGTGGCACCTCTGAGGCTATACGGGAAACAAGGCAGACTACACTCTGGACAGGACACCAATCCTTTGAGTCAGTATCCTGGTAGCTCCTCCTCCCGTTTTCCTGACATGGAGATCTCTGGGAGTTCCTCTCTTTCTGTCAGCAGTGGGCAGGACAGCTCCTTCAAACCCTGTGCCTGAGAGAAAATTCACTCTGGGCTGGAGAATGAGGCTTATTTCTACACCTGTAGAAACCTCTCTTTTGGTTTCCTCCTAGGTTGAAACTGCATCACCCGGTTTCCACACCCTGGCTAAGACCATGGAGGGCATAGAGTCCAGTTCTCCAGTTCTGCTTCTCTGTCTTTGCAGCAGCTCCTCACATCACACACCAGGACGTCTAGCCCTTACTCATTGATAGGGTCACGGGATCAATTGACTTTATGAGTCTAGCCAGGTGGCGACAAGACAGGTCCAGAACTTCAGGGAACTTCAGATTCAGCATCTTCCTCCCCTCTTACTGCAATGCCAATAATGCACATGTTGTTTCTGACATTGCAGAGGGCACTGGGAGTCATGTAGACTTTTGTGTTTCCTTTGCATTTTATTGCAAAAGGGTCCAGGCATAATTTGAATAATGTCAACTGTGAAACCTCTCAGTCATGCATTCAAGCTCTTACAGCTGTTTTTACTGAAATGGGACCAACCGTGACAATATGTTGTTCTGGAAAATGTTTTTCTTTGTTCATTGGATGATAGAGATACCGTAACTGGGATTCTAACACTGATGTTGAGATATCTAGATATCTCTTTTGCTCTGATAGGGAAATTTGTACCCTTGTTACTGTGCCCCGGTGCCAAAGCAGAATTACATAAAACATCTGCAGACAAAAAAAAATATTTTTTGGTGTCTTAGTTACAGTAGTCCCACTAAATGATGTTAGTACTTCGTGCTTCTGTGTTTTCACATTATACCTTTTACATTGCTTAAGTTAGAGGCAGTACCTTTTTTTCAATTAAGACACATGCAAACAAACATTTCATCATAATTCCAGTCAAATTTACTTTTTTTTATTCAGTGCTAATCCTAGTTTTCAAATACAGTAAATGTGCTGAGCTTAGCAAAGCCGTACGGTAAGAATAACATGATAAATGCATGCAACTACCTTACCACCCTTCCTTCTTTTTTCCTCCCTGTCTTTCATTCCGTCTGTTAGGTGATGTCAGCTTTCCAATTTGAAAACATTATTTCATACATTTAATTTTGAATGAGGTCAAAATATAAGATAAAAATATTCATTCCAATTTAAAACACATTTTCCAGTCATTTAAGCCTAATTAAGGATTGTTTCAGTTTCTTAACCTGAATGCTTGAGGTTATATGAAAAAGAAATTGCTATAGATTGTGAGCAAACACTTTCAACAGATTGAAGTGAGAGGTTTAGACCTAAATAAAGAACTGAATAAGTTAAAAAAAAAACATCATTGAAATGAAGTGTCATGTGGATTTGCAGGGCTCTTGAACTTTAAGGGCATACTTTGCTCTCATTATTAAATACAATTTAATAATGGTTTGAATTAATCCTTTTTAGAGTAAAGAATTACATACCAGATTATGTATATTTAATTGTACATTTCTGCTTTTGAAAATTCCAGTTATTTAATTGATTATTAAAAGTGAAATGCTAAATATGTTGTCAGATTTCTCTGTGGTCCCTACAGTAAGTGGCTAAACATTTTTATACACATATTATTTTATATAAA